TAGGGCGTATTCTTTAATAAATAGTATGTGTTTGTGGGGAAGTTTCAATAACCAACCGTCTAAACTACTCCAAATTGGAACATGGACACAGCGTAAAACTTCAAAGTTAGAAAAAAACTGAATGGCTGAGTCTCAAATGCGCCCCTTCAACATCCACATATACCTGGCAAAGGTACATACGGGGGTATTGCTGTACTCAGCCGACATAGCTGAGCAACATATGAAGTATTATACAGTCGTAGCACACATAAGGTTTGCAAAATATACTGTGCAAACTCACTTTGTGTGTCAAAAAGGCAGAAAAAAACACTTATTACCACTACACTTGGCAGGGCCGTCTTTAATAACGAATGGACACTGGGCAAGTGTTTGCTTGGGCCCCCTGTGCCCTGCCGCTCTCGCCCCTCACTCCCTGGTATGCGATCACGGCATCCATCCCAACGCAGTGGCGGTACTAAAGTAGAATGAATTTTATTGGGACCCCCAATTGCAAGGTTGGACTAAAGGTAGAAACCCCATCTGTCGTGCAACTCCAACAATGCTTTGACAGCTGGGACTCTACCAATTTCCCATGCTTGCAGGGTTGTATTTAGCACTGAGCCATGTTAGTATGTTTGAATGTAAGCATGTGTTTGTATGGAGTATGTTTGTGTGAATGTGTTTGTATGTGGTACTGGAGTTTGAATGCAAGTGTGCATTTATGTGTAGTGTTTGTTTTTGAATGTAGGAGTGTGCTTGTATGTAGTGTTGACGTTTCAATGCAGGAGTGTGTTTTATATGTAGTGTTGAAGTTTGAATGGAGGGGTGTATTTGTATTTAAAGTTGCGGCTCAGATGCACAGGTACACACTCTGACACACAAGCAGATACACAGATACATACACTGACTACATACAGATAAACAGGCACATACACTGACAGACACACTGACACAGGTACATATATTGACACACACACAGACACATACACTGGTAGACGTACTGACAGACATACTGACACAGGCACATATACAGACATACTGACACACAGACACATATACCGACATACTGACACACACACACAGACACATACACTGATCAACATACTGACACACATACACTGACAGAAATACTGACACCCACACACTGACAGATATACTGACACCCACATACACTGAGAAATACTGACACACACAGGCACATACACTGACACACACAGATATACTGACACACAGACACATGCACTAACACATGACATACTGACGCACTGACATACTGACACATACACATACTGACACACACAGATATACACACACATATATACTGACACACAGACAGACAGACATACTGACACACACACACAGACATACTGACACACACACACATACACTAACACACACACACTACACACACACATACACTAACACACAGATACACTAACACACACATACACTCAACACACACATACACTAACACACACTAACACACACACACTAACACACATACACTAACACACATACACTAACACACACACTAACACACAAACACACACATACATACACTAACACACACATACACTAACACACAAACACATACACTAACACAAACACACACACACAAACACAGACATACACTAACACACACAAACACTCAACACACACAAACACATACACTAACACACAAACACACACATACACTAACACACAAACACTAACACACACACAACACATACACTAACACACAAACACACACATACACTAACACACAAACACTAACACACACAAAACATACACTAACACACAAACACACACACACACACACATACACTAAAACACACAAACACTAACACACACTAACACACAAACACACACATACATACACTAACACACACATACACTAACACACAAACACATACACTAACACTAACACACACACTAACACACATACACTAACACACACATACACTAACACACAAACACTAACACACACAAACACATACACACACACATACACACAAACACATTTTTTTTAAAAATGTAATCCCCCTAACACTAACACACACACTAACACACATACACTAACACACACATACACTAGCACACATACACTAACACACACAAACACATACACTAACACACAAACACACACACATTAACACACACATACACAAACACTAACACACACATACACAAACACACACACATACACACAAACACATTTTTTTTAAAAATCCTTACCTTTTGGAGTGCTGGGGGGATTCCCTGGGGTCCAGTGCTGCTGCTGGGCTCCTGGGCGGGTGGCCGGTCGGGCAGGAAGGCGGGCGCGCGAGGGAGCACTCAGTGCTTCCTCTTCAGCTCCCTCGCGCGCTGCGTAGGGATGCCGGCGCCGGAAGATGACGTCATCTTCCGGCTCCGGCATCAGTGCGGTGCGCGAGGGAGCTGAAGAGGAAGCAGTGAGTGCTCCCTCGCGCGCCCGCCTTCCTCCCCGACGGGGTCAGCGGGGCCCACGGGGCAGGTGCCTCGGGCCCCCCAAGAGAAACTGGGCCCGGGGCAGCTGCCCCGTTTGCCCCGCGTTAAAGACGGCCCTGACACTTGGTACAAGCTAGCGGAAAAATGATCCCACGCTAGGGTTCAAAATATGCCTTTTGAAATACCCTGGGATGTCTTCTTTAAGAAATGGGGTATTTGGATTATATAGCCTGGTAAAATACTCTATAATGGGAAATGGGCACAGCGTAAAAATTTTAATTTTGAAAAAAACTGGAATGGCTGTGTCTCAAATGTGCCCCTTCAATGTCCACATATACCTGGCAAAGGTACATACGGATGTATTGCTGTACTCAGCCGACATAGCTGAGCAACATGTGAATTATTATACACTGGTAGCACACATAAGGTTTGCAAAATATACTGTGCAAACTCACTTTGTGTGTCAAAAAGGCAGAAAAAACACTACACTTGGTAGCGGAAAAAATGAACCCACGCTAAGGTTCAAAATATACCTTTTGAAATACCCTAGGGTGTCCACTTTAAGAAATGGTAGGCCTTTGTGGGGTAGTTTGAATTTAAAACCTGTGAAGATGCTTGGAAATTGCACATAGGCCCAGCGTCAAAATTCAAAGTTCGGTAAAAACTGATATGGCTTGGTCTCCTATATGGCACTGTAGCTTCACGAAATAGTGCCAAAGACATTCATTGGGGGTGTCTTTTTACTCAGAAGACTTAGCCGAGCATAATTTGGGGGGTTTGAACTTAGTGGCATGTTAAGGCACAATATGCACCTTATGAGATACCCTGGAGTGTCTACTTTTACAAATGGTAGGCCTTTGTGGGGTTTTTTTGAACAGTCAAACTGTTATAATATCCCAAATGGAAGCATAGGCTCATTAAATCCGTCTCTCAAAATTCTACTGTGAATATTGAAAAGGACAGGTCTCCTATATGGCACTGTAGCTTCACGAAATAGTGCCAAAGACATACAATGGGGGTGTCATTTTACTCGGAAGACTTAGCTGAGCATAATTTGAGGGGTTTGAACTTGATGGCACATGTGAAATATACAAAATGCCCAGCAAAAATGCAATCCATGTGTAAAAAACGCACAAAATTATTTTTTACCACATACTTTGGCATATATTGGTGAAACAATTAGGGCATGTTAAGGCACAATATGCACCTTATGAGATACCATGGAGTGTCTACTTTTACAAATGGTAGGCCTTTGTGGGGTCTTTTGAACAGACAAACTGTTATAATACCCCAAATGGAAGCATAGGCTCATTAAATCCGTCTCTCAAAATTCTACTGTGAATACTGAAAAGGACAGGTCTCCTGTATGGCACTGTAACTTCACAAAATAGTGACAAAGACATACAATGGGGGTGTCATTTTACTCAGCAGATGTAACTGAACACAAAATAAAATTTTGCACAGGAATAGCACACACCAACTTTACAAGATACACATGAGAATTTCTTTGTTATAAGTTTGTGTGCCAAAAAAAAAAAAACAACACAATTTTACTCCAATATTTAGCAGAGGTTGGCGGTGAAATGGCTACGTAGAAAGTGTCAAGACAACCTTAGGTAAACAGCCTGTGATGTCTACTTTATATAAATATATACTTTTGTGTGGCAATTTTGTTTTCTTTTATGGCTATTAAGCTTACAAGACAAACATACCAAATTCTAAAATCGCTCCACATTAAAGGTTTATTTTACTCCTTGTGCTTTGTGACCTGTAACTACCAAAAAAAATTTTAAATCCCTAACACATTATATATTCTGTAAATCAGAACAACTAAATGAATTTATTTTTAATTAATTTCCTTAACTTGCATTAATTATGCACACATTATTATTGCAAAAACTGTAAAAAAACACAAACAATTTCATTTTTTTTGCATTTTTCTGTATTTTTTTTATAATAAATAAGCATTTATATATATACATATATATATGTTACATCAAATTAAAGCCCTTTCTGTCCTTTAAAAAACGATATATAATATGTGTCGGTGCAATAAATTAGTAAAACGCAAATTGCAGTTGAACGCAAACAGCAAAAAATGAAAAAAATGCTGTCATTAAGTGAAAGACAAGCTTCTGAAGCTCTGTCCTTATGGGTTAAAATAATGTCTTTGTGTGGATATAATAATTACATACAGTAAGTACAGATACACCAAGCACCTATACAGTAGCACATTCCAGGTAGCTGTTGGAAAGAATTTCTGCATTTAACTCAACTTGCTCACAAATCTCCCCCCTCTTTTGCCCTGGCTGAAGTTTGAAGTTTGACCTGCAAACTGGGAGAAGCAACGAGAGGCTGCCATATACAGACAGAGAAAGAGTGGGGAAGAAGTGAGGCCTGGCAGATAAATTAGTTTCTATTTAAGGTTGAAAACTAGTGATGTCCCAAACGGTTCGCGAACGGTTCGCCACGAACGGTTCGCCACGAACGGTTCGCCACGAACAGTTCGCCGCAAACTCATCATTGAGTAAACTTTGACCCTGTACCTCACAGTCAGCAGACACATTCCAGCCAATCAGCAGCAGACCCCCTCTCCCAGACCCTCCCACCTCCTGGACAGCTCACTAAGAATGCAGCTTCAAAATGGATGCTGTCCAGGATGCGGGAGGGTCTGAGAGGGAGGGTCTGCTGCTGATTGGTTGGAATGTGTCTGCTGACTGTGAGGTACAGGGTCAAAGTTTACTCAATGATGAGTTCATGGCGAACCGTTCGTGGCGAACCATTCGTGGCGAACCGTTCGCGAACCGTTCGGCGAACCGTTTGGGACATCACTATTGAAAACCACATTTGGGGAAAGAGAAAGCTAAATGGGTCTTTATGGGCTAATATTTTTATTATTATTTTTATTTTTTACTAACGCTAAATGAAAATTAGCTTCTGTATAAAGAGTATTGTGAGAGAACGGGTTAATGTTCCAAGAAAGATTATTTTTTGTCCTTCATGTGAAAGTGTCTCTTTAGATAAATGTCTCAGAATATTTTTAAGTAGGGAACATAGGTTAGTAAACAAACCCAAACTATCTCCGACTGAATCATATGCAGAGCAGCGAGCGTTACTGCAGACGTTACAGATTAAACCCGATATCTTGTCACTTAGAATCTCATCACGCAGAAACCGGTTCCATTCAGTACAAATGCCAGGATACCTTAAAGTACAATAGGCTTTTTGTGCGCAATGTTTGAAGGGATATAAACTTTAAAGGGAACCTGTTCAATGTGCGAACCCCAAAGCACCGGGGTAAACGGATCAAACGATAATATCAAACAAGAGTTTCCTTTCTCATTATCACGGAAATGTAATCCCTCATTTACAAGGAACAAGACAAATGATCCGAGTTACCATAGTGACAATGAGTAAAGAAAGCGGTATCCTGGAGACGCGATTGCTAGCGGAGCAGACACCATACTGTACTATATATATATATAGGTTTATTGAAGGTAGATCAACACGCTGGGGCTCACACTGAAATCTGAATGGAGCCAAAATGCTATTTACAGAAACAGGAATGTTAATTAGCGCTAGATCATTTAACACCTTCACTGCCAAACTATTTGCAACAAATTCCAATCTGTGGTTGTTTTGTGTTCTGAAAAGTAATGTGCAAATGCATTTTATCATGTCTCATATATCCAGTATGTATTTTGCCCCATATGTCACCATTTGCCGATTAAGAATCTCCATATCTTCTCATATTGTCTCCATTTGCATTTCCTTAATATTTTGTCACAATAATGTACCTTTTGCCACAATAATGTACCTTTTGCCACATCCCCAGTTTCCCTATTTGCCTAATACACACACATTGCTAGCAGAAACACGCACATTGCTATCAGTAACACGCACATTGCTATCAGTAACACGCACATTGCTAGCAGAAACAAAAACATTGTTAGCAGTAACATGCACTTTGTTAGCAGTAACACACACATTGCTACCAGTAACACGCACATTGCTAGCAGTAACACACACATTGCTAGCAGTAACATGCACATTGCTATCAGTAACACGCACATTGCTATCAGTAACATGCACATTGTTAGCAGTAACACGCACATTGCTATCAGTAACACGCACATTGCTAGCAGTAACATGCACATTGTTAGCAGTAACACGCACATTGCTATCAGTAACACGCACATTGCTATCAGTAACACGCACATTGCTAGCAGTAACACGCACAGTACTATCAGTAACACGCACAGTACTAGCAGTATCAGCTTCTAGCTCTCGCACTACCCATTACTCAGTAGAACTCATGTAGAACTGCCATGGCTCCCAGATCTCCTTGTGACGATCAGGCTGCTCTTTGAGCATAGCCGTGCTTTCCTTCAGTGCCTGGATCTCTTCCTCAATCTCCAACCAAGCCTTGAAGAAAGAGGGGTCCAGATGCTTCCATAATGCAGGTATTAGGGGGCGTGCGACTGTTAGCAGGTGTTTAGAGAGTGTTTACTTATGTTTGGAAACTGGAACTTTGGTATGATTAAGAAACATATCTGCTGGGTGGAAGCCTCCCATTGAGACTTAAACTTTAGGTTGTCTGGCTGTGACTACTGTAGAAGCAGCTGATAAAGGAAAGAGATTTCTTAAAATAATGGTTCTGACCGAGAACATAATTCTTCAATGTGAGTGAGAAGTCTTTTCAAAGTGTCATGATGTGAAATCGTAGCGTAAACATTTTTTAGCTGATGGCAGCGGAAGTGCTCCAGCATGGTACATGGTGTGTCCTGGATAACATATCCCAGAACATGGAATAATCCGTCCCTGCATATTTATGTACCCTACCATAGGAACATCAATGCCTTGCGTTCCAAACCAGCTGGAAATGCTGGAAATTGACTGTCACCAGGTACAATGGCCGTACAAAGAAGAGGGAGAAAGTCAAAACCTAATTTGGTGCCATATCCGTAGTGTTACTCCAACATGCAGATGATATTAAATGAGTTCCCTCGGGGCTCCATCATCCAACCAGACTGCAAATGGCATCTGGGACTGTGTCATCTCCCGTACCAATGCTGGCCAAATTCTTTGTGAGTCAGGGTCGTCCCACTCAACTATTCAGGCCAAGTGGGTCTCCCTTTTATAATCCCAGAAAGAAGGTAGTCCTAGAAAACCCTTCTTGCTTGGGGTGTATGAGTTGTTCCTTATGTAGTTGTGGCCTCCTCCCCTTCCACACATACCGGACTAGAGCTGATTTCAAGGACGCAAAATATGCCTTAGGTAGAAGTATTGGTGTTGATTGATATAAATATAACATCCTGGGTAGCAGGTTAATTTTTATGTTGTTTATTAAGTCAATCCATGAGAATTGAGGTGTAGTCCAGCTTTTCATGTCTGCTGAAGAGCTATTAAGCATCGCTTGAAAGTTGAATTGGTAGCGGTGTTTCAGGTCGCATAGGATCCAAATGCCAAGATATTTAAGTTTGTCTTGACATCATTTGAAGTAGGAATTGTGATTATAGGTGACTTGGGGACATCGAAACATTCATTGCCTCAGATTTATCCAGGTTTAGTTTAGAGTTGCTTAGTTTATAGTTGCTGAACTTCCCAAATGTGTCGAGTTCTTGCAGCAGATTAAAAACGGAGGTTGTTTTATATAGAACATCAGATAAGCAGCTTAAGTTGAGACCTTATGTTTGGTTCCTGCATGTTGGGGACCATGGATTGAACAGTTAGCTCAAGTGTCAGGACAAAAAGTAATGGAGACAGAGGGCACCCCTGTCTCCTCTTGTTTGAGATTACAACCGTGTCGATCAGCCCCCCATTTATATATACTCTAGCGGTCAGGTGCATGTATAACGCTTGCATCCATTTGCAGAAGTTATCTCCAAAACCCATCTCCCGAAGTATCATGAGCATTAACTGCCAGTCCACACAATCAAAGGCCTAATTTCGACAAGATGATAGTTGGTCATTTTTTGAAATGCGCCAGGTGAGTCATATTCAGTATCATATAATGTTGTCTTTGGCTGCTCTGCAGGGGATGGATTCACAATTGATCGTGGTGGACTGGTAAGGGCAGGACAGTTTTCATGCGACTGTCCAGAAGTTCTAAGTCTTTCCCCTGCTTGGGGAGCACTGTGATATGTTAAGGATTTAGTGCTGAGTTTCCCCTGCTCAGGGAGGGTGCTGAAGGAGGCCAGCATGTGTGGCAGTAAAAGACCCCAAACACTTTATAATATCTGAGAGAAAACCCGTCTAGAGAGAAAACCCGTCTTTCTGGTTTTGGATTCCTTGAGGGCCTCTCAGATCTCGTGCAATGAGATCTCTACTTCTATAATTGACGCTGCATCCTGCTCCTGTGTCCTGATATGGGTAAGGAGATTTTCGGCTACCGTCGTTCGACAGCTTTCTAGAGGAGCAGTCGTTTCCATCCTGTGAATCTTATATAGGGAGGTGTAACAATTGTGCAAAAGATTCAGATATGTCCTTGGGAAATGGGGACAATCCCTTAGTTTCACATCGTATTCTGTTAACATGGAACTGCGAATAGAGGTCTACAATTATTCTAATTCTCGTAGAAGAATTTACGTGACTTCTGGAGCAAGACATATTGCTTTTGGGTCAGTAGTGTCGAGAGTTCCTTTCTATCTACGAGCAGATGTCTGTGGTCCAGGTTTGATAGTGTCTGTTTGTGTTGAGTTTCAAATTCCTTAATTATGGCAAGGAGGGATCGTATTTGCATCTTGCATCTTTTTCCACCGAGAGCACAGTGAGATTAGGTGTCCTCTAATTACACTCTTATGAGCTTCCCAGATCGTGGCAGGTGAAGAGTCTGGGGTGTGGTTGTCTTCAAAGTAGTGGGTCAGGGTTGTGCAAACTTCTTGGTCTAGTAGGGCCAATTCATTCAGCCTCTAGATTCGTACTGCTGGTCTGAACAGTGGAGCCTGTAACTCAATCGTAACAGGTGAGCTGTCTGACCACGTAGTGATACCAATATTGGCAACTAAAAGCAGTGGAAGAGAAACCTGGGGCATAAAGAGATAGTCTATCCTGGAATAGATACCATGTATTGCCAAATAGAATGAGTAGTCTCACTCATCCAGTTTTAAGGTTCTCCACCATTCAACCAGATGTGGTCTTGCTAGCATTCTATTGATGGAGCGCATGCAGCTGTAAGGCATTGCGTAAGTTCCATGGTAGGAATCCCTCATTGGATCCATGGGGATATTCATATCAACCCCCAGGATCAGAATTCCTGAGGCAAAATCAGCCAAGGCTTTTACAGACGTGAGAAAGATATGGTGGCGAGTGTTTGGGGCATATAATACCACTAGGGTGTAAAGGTGGAATTGGATATGACCTTTGATGAAAAGATAGCGGCCTTCTGGGTCAACCCTCTGGAACCAAATACCTGATCTTGACATCACAACATGATCTCATTACCGAACATAAAGAGAGTGAAACTCCGGGTGATACTTTAATGGTTATATATGGGTAAACTTTAGGGGTTGAGATGGTCGAATTCCACCCAGATAACATTGTGGAGGGACATGAGGGGACAGATCTCTTCCCAGTCATGATGATCTACACTGTGTTAATTAGGACATTTTCACAACCAACAATTTGATGCAGGTTTTTTTATTAATCTATCAATGATGATACACTCTGGGGATAATATAGTAAATCTTGTTAGCTTGAAGCATTATAAGCTCTACA